GAGCGTTCGCTCATTCATTAAAGAAATCAGGGTTAGCTGGGCGGTGGTAGTGCAGAGGCAGGTGGATCTCTATGAGTTCGAGGCCAGGCTGATTTACAGAGCAAGTTCCAGGACAAGGCTCCAAAGCTACATAGAGAAATCCTGTCTAGAAAAGCAAAGCAAAACAACAACAAGAATAAAAGAAAAGGAAAAAAGAAATCAGGATTACAGAGGTTTCCCCCTGCTGACTTTGAGTAATTATTGCTGAGTGTTCATGGTGCTTATTTGGTGAGGGACATGTTGCCATCTTCTCTTGGCCTTTCTAGGATATAGGGCTTCACCCTCACTGCTGGGATAAAACCTAGAAGCAGAGGTCCTCACCTACCCTCATTCCTGTGTCCATCTGAAGGGCACCATTGCAATGTGGAGCCTGGTGGTTTAATACTTGACCCTTGGTTCAGCGTTTCCCCTTCTGCCTTTGTTTGCTCTTTAGTGTTATTTGAAAGTCCATCTTCCTAGTGTGAGGTGTTCTTTTTCCAGTTATTTGTTAGAACAGGGATTATGTATGCCTTATGTAGTGCCGCAGGAATGCTGTGTGACAAACTGCAGAACCTCAGTGGCAGACAGTAGCTGCTGTCTAGGGTACGCTGGGAGAAGTTTACTGACCTTACTGGTCTCAGCAGGGTCTCACCTGTAGAAAACGGAGAAAGTTGTCCTGTACCCTGTGTGCCTCACCCTTTGGCAGGCCAGCCCAGGCACGCCCCTCTCATGGCAATGGCCAAGGTCCAAGAGAGAGCAAATAGAAATATGCTGAGTTGCCCCAGGCCAGACCCCTCGCCAGTACACCCTTCTCTCCAGCTTGTTTTATTGGCCAGGCCCTATTCAAAGGGATGGAGAAATAGGCTTCTCTTTGGGGAGAGGAACTACAAATTTACTGTTGTACTGGCTCATTAACATGTCCTGTCCAACAGAGCTGTGGAACCCACCTCGTGTTTGTATGTAGTCTGATGCTTTGCAAGTAGGAAGTGCCTGATAACATGCAGGGTGTGTAGAAGTAAGTGAAGTTGCCACTAGCTAGATTTTTAGGGCAAGATTGGGTTGACTGCCTGATGTGGAATGTTAGCAAGTGTTTATCTGTTACAAGGAAAGTTTGCATCATGCAGACTGACACTAGGTTCGTGCTGTACTGGTACAAGGGCAGGTTGATTGACATTAAGAAACCATTCTTGTCATCTTTTCCACTACTAGTTTCACTATCAACATCTTCAGGATGTTGGATGATCAGTGGCCAAGAGAAGAGGCGCACGCAGAGGAGGGACCGCTGGCGGTTTAGCAGGTTCCCTAGGGGATTTTCATCACATGTGTTGGATGTGTTTATGCTTTAGAGGAGAAAACAACCTCTGACCACTGTCTTTAACCTCTTTGTTCTGGGCTCTCACTGTTTACAGTAGGGCAGGGAGAGAGGCCACAGGCCAGTAGAAGATCTGTGGGATCTGGGACCTCAGTAGGTACGCAAATCCTGAGGTGTTCTATGGGGTCTGTGGGTCAACCACCTCTGGGCACATCAGATATGTATAATGGTCCAAGAGACCACCAGTGCTGCTCTCCTTCCATTGGTACCCATACCCGACTGAGAGAGATTTACTGGAACCTTCCATAGCCAGAAACACACATGCTAGAACCTTCCAGACTCAAGTCAGAGGGTGTCATTTCCCAACTCTTTAACCTGAAATCTCCATGACCTTGATTTCTGGTTCCTAAAGCTGGGCCACTCAGAAAGACAGGGTCCATGTGAAACTGCCCTTGGGCCATGACTAGAGACTTCTCATGGTTGGAATGAGACCAGGCTCACACCAGAGCATGGGATAAAGCCACCTAAGGTTGAGACACCTAGTCTTCTCCCCTCAAGGGATTCACAACACTCGTTAGGCCTGCAGGTGTCTTCTCCAGTACAAGAAAAACTCTGAGGTAACATGCGAAGACGTTGCCCAGCGCACTTATGTCCAGGGGCTCCTGCGGGACAGAGGCTGAGATCGCTACAGTTAGCTGGCTCTGGCACCGACACCGGGCCTCTCAACTGTGCCCCTCATTTCTCCTTGACAGAGACTTGCACAAGCCGCTTCTGTTTGATTCTCCTAGAACCGTGAGAAACAGGCCCGTATGTGAGCCTCGGTTTTCATTCTATTCAGTCTTTGTGTATTCAAATTCTCCTGGTTTTAGCTCTTGCTGTTCTGCCAGATTTCCATCACATTGATGGCTTCTCTGAATTAATAAGTGTTTTGCAACCACTGAAAAGTCCCTCCCCAGCCCCCAGCACTGGGACTTAGCCATATTGATTGGCCCCCTCCCTTCTGTTTCTCTTCAGCTACTTCTTAGATGTTGTATTCTGTAAAGTGTTAATAGAATTTTCCTTGCACCCTGACACTTTATCTATTCAGGAGGTCTCCGAAAGTCCCATTGTATGGCTGGACTGCAGGGGAAAGAGCCCTATTCTCTACAACAATGCTTACCCCCCAAACACACACAGAGATCTGCAGATCCTCCCCCGCACTCACCAGGCTGGAAGAGATGTGGAGGCTACAGAAGAAAGCGGGCAAACTTAGCAAGGAGAAGCAGGGAGCCAATTACAATTGCTGAAAGACCGTTTTCAAAAAAATTTTTTTTAATTCAAAATATTTATTTCCTACGGGGATATGAATTTCAGTACCAAAACATGGTCAACCCAGGAGGGAGGCTGTTTTCCTCACTGTTAGGCATTTTCAGTTCAAAATCAGGATTTGGCAAACATCTCAGAAAATGGAGAGATGGGTGCAAGGAAGCAGATGCCATATTTACCTGCACTCTCCGCAGGCCTTACCCCCAACCCACACCCACACCCCAGGCATCCGAATTCTTCTGGCATCCCAAGGTCTGAATCTGAGATGCCATATGCTGGAGTGTGACTGCTCTGTGTACAAACACACCGGTTGATCTTATGGCGGTTTGCTTGGGTGGTGCATGGGAGGCTTATGGCCTCAGCAGGTGTCTGGGGGACTCATGAAGCCTGCCAAGGCATGGGGTCCAGGAACAGCCCAGGGAGGGAGGCCCTGTGCAAGTGATCTCAAACTAGCATTACCTTTCCTGACAGCTGGTGCCTGGGAGAAAGGGGGCAGCTCCCTGCTGGAGGAGTCACCAGGCAAGGTTACTCTCCCCACAGCAATGACTGCAGGGGTGGGGGCACCAGAAGGGGAAGGCCCCAGGAGCCTGTTTGTTCATTCTGGGTTGCTTAGCAACCAAGGGGGCCCTGCCTCCAGATGAGATTTTTAAGTAAGGCAGAGTTCTTCCAGACTGGCTTGCCTACCTCTCCCATTCTTGCCTGGACTTCGCCCTTCCCGCTATTGTATGTAATAGGGTCTAGAAAACAATATATTCAGTTTGTCCAGCGGCACCATTTTCAACCCCATTTCATTGTTTCACCCGGGAGCAGTGAGAAGTGAATAGCCTGTGATTCCTCTTTGGGTGGCTTAGCTGAACCCCACTCCCCCCCAGCTTGCTTGTGAGCTTTTGAGCATAAGCGATTGCTGAGATCTTTGCAACCGCATACACACACACCAGACTACGCCGAGCACAGTCTCCTGGCTAACAGTTTGTGTGGCCATGTGGCTTGGGTTGCATTTCTGCCTCCAATGTTAGGTGCAAACTGCATGAAGAGAGCAGCCACTTCACCCCCAGTGAGACTCATTTTCTTGGGGATAAAGATGTGTCTTATGGCCTAAAGGATTAGATCTACAAATAAGAGGAGTGGGTTCTGAAGTTGTATCTAGTTCGTCAGTTATTTCTTAAGATCTGTGTGGAATCCTACTGCTAGAAATGCCCAAGAGTTGCGAGGTATGAGAGAAGAAAGACAGTTGCCCAGGATACTTTTCTGGAATGCCTTGGAAGAACCCTAGCATCTGTACATCAGTGTGCTAAGGCTGCCATAGCAAAGTACCACAAGCTGGAGAGTTCCAACAACCAGAGTATGTTTTTCTCATGTCGGTTTATTCTGGAAACCAGAAGTCCAAGATTGAGGTGAGGCAGGATTGGTTTCTTCTGAGGCCTTGTTGGCCTGTGGTTTCCCAGTCCTGTGTCTGCCCTTATGTCCTCATCTGAGGACACCATTTATATTACTAGGTCCACCCTAATGACCTCATCTTGATTTTGTTGCTGCTTTCAAGACCCAGTCTTGGGTGGAGAGATGGTTTGTCAACTAAGAGCACTTAATTGCTTTCACAGAGGACCCAGGGCAGATTCCCCAGCGCCCACATCAGGCAACTCTAAACCACCTGTAACTCCAGTTCCTAAGGATCCAACATCCCCTCTTGGTTTCCACAGGCACCCGCACACATATATCACACAGGTGCATACACATAAATAAAAATTTTTAAAGGCCCAGTCACCTATACAATGCTAGGAATTAGGACTTAAGTCAATGAGCACCAGTCCAGCCAGCCAGGATGAAAATGCTGTCTGTTGTTTATAACTGAATAAGCTAAATATACATCAGAAGGGAAGTAAGCTAGGGCCTCTTGCTCCGGGGAATACTGACCAGCTTGTCATGATGTAGTGCTCTGGGTGGAATGTGCTCTATTGTAATATCATTTGTACAACAGAAAAGAACAACAACAACAACAAAAAGGTCCACAAATAATTCAATATAAACAATTCAAAAAGAAGTATGATTTTTTTATTATATGGGGTCAGTGTATTTGTGAATACAGGTGCCTATAGATGTCCCCATACACAGAAATTCTAAAGGAAACTACACCATATATTAACTAAGGTTATGCCAAGTAGAGGGTTTTGTTTTGTTTTTTCCCCTTTTAGAAATATTCTCTGCTTAAGCAACTCTTTCTTTGGTAATGGAAACCCTCCCACACCCCACACAATCTGTGTTTGTAATGTTGGTAATAGAGACCACCTCCCTCACCCCACACAATCTGTTTGTAATGCTCTCTGCGTTTCATGAAAAGTCCTGAAGCACCTTCTCTTCTCTGTTTCAGGTGGAGGATGCAATGCTGATGTTTGACAAAACTACCAACAGGCACAGAGGTAAGATGACCCTGGAATAAGAAAATTGCCCCTTCATTCTTTCCTGGTCTTTAGACTTCTCACCTCCTGTCCCATTGACAAAAGATACAAGGACGATGCAAAATCCAGCAAGTGGACATAACCATCTGTCAAAGGGCTATATATTAATAACAGAAGCCGGGCGTTGGTGGCGCACGCCTTTAATCCCAGCACTCGGGAGGCAGGCAGATCTCTGTGAGTTCAAGGCCAGCCTGGTCTACAGAGCGAGTTCCAGGACAGCCTCCAAAACAATATAGGCCCTCTTAGCCCCTTGCCCACCTCAGCATTCAGTGATCCTAGTGAAAATTATTCATAGTTATTACTCAATTGGACTGTCAGTTTGCATCTAAGGAGGTAGCCTAGAAAGCAGACTGTCAACCTACAAATGAGCTAGAGGAGGAGGGAAAACCTTGTCTTGATTCTGTTCACTGGTTACAGCAGTTGCAGATTTGAAAATGTCCCGTGGAACCACGTAGTACTTAGGGAATATCTGTACTTACTTGTTCCTCCTGGCCAATCTGTGTTATAGAAAATGGGTCTCACTCTACCTGGGGTCCACAAACCTTTGAAATGATTTGCACAGTGTCTGAGCTATGCTTAGGAGTAGATTCCTAGTGTTGAACAGAAATGTCAAAAAGGGCTCTCACTGACAACACCTGCCAGCAGAATGTGTTAAAATCGATGATTTGAATAGGAAAATGGGAGACATTTGAATAGGAAAATGGGAGAAAATCTAGAACGTCTGAGGTAAAAGTTAGAGGACGATGTGGCTTAATGCTCCGTGTTCCTGTGCTCAGGAAGTGCCGTGTTTCTGGGGTTCCTATTAGCAGGGTGTTAATGAGCAGCGCTTCTGAAGAGGGGTGACAGGAAAGAGTGGGGGCGGTTCTCCGGGGAAGGAGCCCCGCCCGAGTCAACCCAGAGAGCTGTTTCCTTGCCACGTCTATTGCATTTAGATGTTTCTCCCGTTGTTTACATTCCTGCTGTCACCTGTGATTAGAAGCAGTTACCCAGAGCGACTGCATCCCTTTCCTGTCTGGGGCAAGCAGTGGAGTGAAAGGGAGGAAAGAATGAAGGGGGGCGGAGAGAGACCTGCTCATCCTGCCCTAGTATGCCTGGTAGCCCAGCTTTCAGTGGCATTCTCCAGAATGGAAAGTTGAGCATTGGGTGGATAGGGCAGGGAAGAGGGGAGAGGCAAGGAGACAGAGCTGGAGAGGTGGGGTGGGGTGAGCACTGATGACTGGCTTCTTTCTCATGGCTCCCTTAGGCTGCCTTCTTAGTCCAGCTGCCTAGGGGCGGTGCTGTCTGCAGTTAGCTCGACACTCCCACACCAATCATTAATCAAGAAGATGCCCCCACAGACTTGCCTACGGGCAACCTGATGGAGCCATTTTCCCAACTGAGGTTGTTGTTAGATGACTGGAACTTGTGTCAAGTTGACAAAAACAAAACAAAAAACAAACAAAGGAACCCTACCAGGGCAAGTACTTACTTTAGTAGCGTTGTTTGGTAAGTGTAAGTGGCATAAGTGTGAGCTCTTAGCATTGTTATTGTTACCATTTTGTAGCTGAGATACCAAGGCTCAGAGGAGGGAGATTCTGAGTCCCCACTAAGCTTCCAGCCCCAGGCTACTGTTCCAGACTCTCTTTCTTTGTGTGCCCAGATGGGAACAGGTTTTTCTGGGTGAGTGATCCCATCTGAATGTGGTTCCCAGCAGTCAGTGTCAGAAGTCAACAGTCCCAGGAGGTTGCTGGGCCATGTCCTGGTGACTGTGTCCTTTCTTAGTTATGTCAGGGTCTGGGATCAAATCCAGCACCCGGAGCACAATGAGTTAGAAAATAACTCTGTGTGTGTGTGTGTGTGTGTGTGTGTGTGTGTGTGTGTGTGTGTGCGCGCGCACTCATATGCATGTGTGTATGTAGCACATGGAGAGAAACTAGAGGTTGATTCCAGGTGTCTTTGAATCACTGTTTTATTTACTGAGGCAGGGGTCTCTCATGAACTCAGTTGTCTGGCCAGGTTGCCTTGGGCCTCTTCCCTTTCCTCCGCCCCATCTAGCTCACAGACAGACCACCACACCCATCCAGCTTTTATGTGGGTGACGGGGATCTGAACTCCAGTTTTGTGCTTGCATAGTAAGTGTTTTACCCACCGAGCTGTCTCCTTGGCCCATGGCTTGCTTTTTTGAATATGGGTGAAGAAAATGTTTGAGGCATGCTTAATGCCAGGCCCTGGGCCTTCTACATCCCTCTCTCTTCAACACTCACAACAGAGCAGGGACAGATTTGTACTCTAAGGGCTCTGAGAAGGCCAATGACTTGTGTCTTATTACTGGACCATGGTAGAGGTGAGACTCAGCCTCAGAGGACATGCCTGGGACCATCCTCCCTTGCTTATGAAGACCAGGATGCACCACTTTCTTTTTTCAGAGGAGAGGAAGACCAGGCAGCCTAGGGTGCTGAGATTGGGCTGTGTACCTTCTGTGAATGGGAACATAAGCATTGTTAAGAGATGTAAGAGGGTCTCAGCAGTTTCAGGACATCTTTGCTGGCCCTATTGAGTCCAGATGTCTGGTGAGCACTGGGGGCAGGAGAGAGGGCAGAGCCTCATGTGTTTAGCATCCAGCTCCCCTGCCAGAGGTTAAAACCCCTAGAGCAGATGCCATGTACAAATCATACAACTCTATGACTTGTAGAGTCCCTGAATGGGGACAGGTCTGATGATGAATCTCCAGGCAACCGCAAAGCCTTGAGATGTGGTGGGAGCTTTTGAGTGGGGGCCACACCAAGTGCACAGGCCGCGGAGCCGTGAAGCCGGCCTAGAGGTATGATGGCGGTGTCTGCTGCTTTGTCCTCTCCTGTGTACTTTCTGTTTAGATAGGAATCTTGCCCGTTTTCCAACTTCAAAACAGTCTAGAAGTTTTTCTTGGGATGAGTCCTAGCCCTGGGGTAGTGCCTGCATTCAGAGCATTTAAGAAAGTGAGAAAAACTTTCAAATCAGAGCAGAGTCCTGTCTGCCAATACCATTCCCACACCCCAGGCAGAGTGCAGCATGCCTTGGTGATAAGCTCAGAAAAGCAAAGCTGTCACTGTCAGCTCACCACTGCTGCCTCAGCTTCCTGCCTCCCTTCTCTTGTGGAGGGGAAAGGGCAGCAGAAGGTGAGGACTCCTCTCTCCTCACACCGCCTCTAGCTCTTACCTTAAAGAGCCCAACCTGGCGCTGCCGGCCCCCCCCGTGTTGTCACAGCATGGTTGGCTACCTCAAGCCCCTCACCCGCCATACTGGATAGATAGCCGGGGCTGTGCTGCATCCCTGGTCCCAGGAACATGGACTTCAGCTGTATATCAGGAGCCATAGCAGCTCAGGGAACCTGAGGCATGCACTTGGCCTTCTGAGGCCCATGGGCTGGGCTCACTCATGCCATCCTCACCGTTAGGAGGCAGAGGTCAAGTTAGCTGCCACTCTAGCCTCTGGTTGTCACCATCTGTTCCTTGCTCCCTGTGGCCCGAGCAGAGATGACCCTGAGTCATATCCGAGTGGCTGTTGACTTCTGTCCACTAAAGGACCAGCCTGGTCGCTCTAGTGCCATGGGAGAGAATCCAGGGGATGAGAGTTTAAAGTCTGCCTCCCAGTGGAGCTATGCAATGTTGGGGTGCTCTCATCTTACCGCTAGACAGAGCAGGTCTTTCTCTAGCTTCAGGAGGCAGAGGTGCCTGGGGGTTCTCTTTCCATCCCCCAAGCATCTGATCTTGGCAGTTTCGTTCTCTAAGAATATGAGAAGGGGATTGAGGAGCCACAGGACCCAAGTGTGTCTGGCCTTTAGCTTAGTAACCATCTCATGTCCAAGATGAATTCCTTTTTTAAAATACCACTAGGGCAGGAAGATGTGAATAGTTACTGTAGGTGGGAGCTCTGGGAAGCAACTCTGCTAGGGTTAGCCTACAAGAGGCTTATTAGGAGGAGCCCTTGACTGGGGTGGCTGGAGGGGGACTCTGGCCTATGATGACATCATAAATGAGTAGGTCCCTCCCTGTCTCAGGTAGGAAGGGGGGGTCACCTCTGTGTCTATGGGAGCTATCCATGGATGTATTCCATCTAGGAAGCTTGTGTGACCTGGGCTTTCTTCTACTGAAGAAATTTGAGAGGGGTGTACGGTAGGACATATTGGGGGTACTCCCGCAGCTAGGGAGGCAGGATGTAGAGGATGTCCTTCATTCTGAAAGTTGCATGGATACCTTGTCTCAATGCTTACCCTGATTTCTGCTGTCAGGGATCCATGGCTATTCTAGCCCGGCTATGTTCACCATCTCAGTAGACACAGCCAGTACTGTACAAGCATTGGAGCCAGCACAGGGACCGCACATGGCAAATAGCCACTGGTGAGCTGAACTGCCCAGGGATGCGCCCATACAGAAGCAGAACAGGATATTCGCTCAGCCTACCTGACCTGCAGCCCAAGCTCACTGCCACCCTTCAGGTCTGGTACCAGGCAGTTCTGCAAACGGGAGAATCAGCGTGGGCTTAGGCTGCTTCCTCACATTTTACTCTCTCTACACCACCCCTTCTGTTCATGCTGCTGTTCATTTCAGATGGAGAAACTAAGTCACATGAAGTGACTTCTACAGGTAGAAGCTGGGAGCCATCTTTGTTTCTACCTGCCATTTCACCCCATGGTCTTCTGTGAGATGATCTTTGTCCCCGGGGAGGGAGAGAACAATGCCTTTCCAATTTTCTCAGTCATTTCATTTGTTCTCTAAAGCTTGTTAGAGGTAGCCTGGAAAATACTGGGCAGATCATCAAAGAGTTTAATCATCAGGGGCAAGTCCGTTGCTTTATCCTTGCAAATAGCAGATAAGATCTTGAACTCAGCATTAGGTATTGATCCCAGGGTGGGGCTGGAGCGGGCACCTGAGGGAGAAGTAGGGAAGGCGGCAAGATGCTGTCCTTCCCATTTGCTCATTTGCTGGCAGGAGGCTGAGAGCTGG